AAATAATTACTTTTTTAAGATTGAAGAAGAATTAACTAAGTGCTAAAGACATTAGAAGAAAAATCAATTAAATACTCTTCAATCTCTGCCTCTGAAGTTCCCTAAGCCACGAAGCTGGGGGCTTCTGTCAGGGAAGGTATCAGTCTGTGCTGTCCTGTTATCCCTCCAGGCACTCATGAATGACTTCTGTGGAGGGAAAGGCAGATGAAGTGGATAACCTAGTACAGGTGTTCTCAAATTATGTTGAAAACAACAATGTGAGATTGACTAGCTTTTGACTTTTTTACTTAAGTGGAACTGGCTTTCTTCTTAAACATCCAGTTCATCTAAGGATATATGCCTTTAATTTGTTTTTTCCCATTAGCATTGGATATTAAAAAACATTAGAAGACCAATACTTCCTGTGTGTTGCACAGACTTCCTTATATTCAGTTCTAAATGACATTTTAAAGAATTCGAGCAAGTTTGGGTTTTCTCACTAAATAAACCTGAGCTCTGTCTGCTTTGTTTGAGGAATAATTTCACATGAACTTCAAATGGATTAGGTTCAGGCTCTGTTCTATATGTAGAAATAAGAAGTTTGCTTCCTTAAATGTGTAAATTGCAAGAAATATTCAGTAAAAATCTTTCTTTCACTCTGCATCTTTTTCATCTTAAAGCTTTGTGACACTTAAAGCAAGAGTGGCATGGCTGAGTCAAGACCTGCTGGTGAAACTAAAGGGCAAGAAGGAAATGCACAGGCAGTGGAAGCAGGGACAGGTATCCTGGGAAGAATATAGGGATGCTACCCAATTGTGTAGGTTGGCGTCAGGAAGGCCAAGGAGCAGCTGGAGCTGAATGTGGCAAGGGGGACAAAGAATAATAAGAAGGGCTTCTACAGGTACGTTAGCCAGAAACTGTACCCCCTGATAAGCAAGACATGCAAACTGGTAACAATGCATGAGGAGAAGGTTGAGGTGCTCAACAACTTTTTGCCTCAGTCTTCACTGGCAAACTCTTCTCATACCTCTCAAGTGGATGGACTACAAGGCAGGGACTGGGGGAGCAAAGTCCCTCCCACTGCATCTCAGAGTCCTGAGGGTGTTGGCTGATGTAGTTGGCAACACACTCTCCATGGTATTTGAAAAGTCATTGCAGTCAGGTGAAGACCCTGGTGACTGGAAAAGGGGAAACCTTGCACCCATTTTAAAAAAGGGTAGAAAGAAGGACCCTGGGAACTACCAACCTGTCAGCCTCACCGCTGTGCCTGGGAAGATCATGGAACAGATCCTCCTAGAAGCTATGCTGAGGCACATGGAGGACAGGAAGGAGATTCAAGACAGCCAGCATGGCTTCACCAGGGGCAAGTCCTGCCTGACCAACCCAGTGGTCTTCTATGATGGACTGACTACATTAGTGGACAAGGGAAGAGCTATGGATGTCATCTTTCTGGACTTCTGAAAGGCCTTTGACATGGTCCCTTACAGCATCCTTCTTTCTAAATTCGAGAGATGTGGATTTGATGGATGGACTGTTCGGTAGATGAGGAATTGGCTGGATGGTCGCATCCAGAGTGTAGCAGTCAACAGCTCAGATGGAGGTTGGTGATGCGTGGTGTCCCTCAGTGGTCCATATTGGAACCAGTACTGTTCGATATCTTCGTCAATGACACAGACAGTGGGATCGAGTGCACCCTCAGCAAGTTTGCAGACACCACCAAGCTGAGTGGTGCGGTTGACACACCTGAGGGATGGGATGCCATCCAGAGGTAGCTGGACAGGCTCAAGAAGGGGCCTGTGTGAGCCTAATGAGGTTCAACAAGGCCAAGTGCAGGGTCCTGCACCTTGCTTGGGGCAACCCCCAGTACCAATACAGGCTGGGGGATGAAGGGATTGAGAGCAGCCCTTCCAAGGACTTGGTGGTACTGGTGGATGAAAAGTTGGACTTGAGACAACAGTGTGCGCTTGCAGCCCAGAAAGCCAACTGTATCCTGGGTTGCAACAAAAGAAGCATGGCCAGCAGGTTGAGGGAGGTGATTCTGCCCCTCTGCTCTGCTCTGCTCTGGTGAGACCCCACCTGGACTACTGAGGGCTCTGGAGCCCTCAACACAGGAAAGACATGGACCTGTTGTATCAGGTCCAGAGCGGGCCACGAAAAAGATAAGCAGGGTGGAACACCTCTCCTAAGAGGACAGGCTGAGAGAGTTGGGGTTGTTCATCCTGGAGAAGAGGAGGCTCCAGGGAGACCTTATAGCAGCCTTTCAGTACTTAAAGGGGGCTTATAAGAAAGATGGGGACAAATATTTCAGCAGGGCCTTTTGTGATAGGACAAGGGGTAATGTTTTTAAATTAAAAGAGGGAAGATGTAGACTAGATATAAGGAAGAAATGTTTATGATGAGGGTGGTTAGACACTGGAACAGGCTGCCCAGAGAGCTGGTATGTGCCACAGCCCTGGAAACATTCAGGGTCAGGTTGGACAGGGCTCTGAGCAACGTGATCTAGTTGAAGATGTCCCTGCTTATTGCAGTGGGGTTGGACTGGTTAACTTTTAAAGGCCTCTGTATTGGGTTTCTGTGGCAAGGTTTGGGTAGTGGGGGGGGCTACAGGGGTAGCTTCTGTGAGAAGCTGCTAGAAGCTTCCCCTATGTCTGATAGAGCCAATGCCAGCCAACTCCAAGGCAGACCTGTTGCTGGCCAAGGGTCCAGCAATTTAGCCAGTCAATGACGGTGGTAGCACCTCTGTGATAATATATCTAAGACGAGGGAAAAAAAGAATGGTGCGATTGCAGCCATAGAGAAGAGTGAGAATATGTGAGAGAAACAACCCTGCAGACACCAAGGTCAGTGAAGAAGGAGGAGGAGTTGCTCCAGGTGCTGGAGCAGAGATTTCCCTGGAGCCCGTGGTGAAGACCGTGGTGAAGACCATGGTGAGGCAGGCTGTCCCCCTGCAGCCCATAGAGGTTAACAGTGGAGAAGATACCCACCTGCAGCCACGCCAGAGCAGGTGGATGCCTGAAGGAGGCTGTGACCCTGTGGAGAGCGCACACTGCAGCAGACTCCTGGCAGGACCTGTAGACCCCTGGAGAGAGGAGCCCATGCTGGAGCAGGTTTGCTGGCAGGACTTGTGACCTCATGGGAAGGACCCATGCTGGAGCAGTCCTGAGGAATTGCAGCCCTTGGGGAAGACTCACACTGGAGAAGCTTGTGGAGGACTGCCTCTTGTGGGAGGGGCCTCACACTGGAGTAGGGGAAGTGTGAGAAGTCTGGTGGGGGAGGAGGTAGAGAAAATGGGGAGTGAAGTTGAACCTGGGAAGAAGGGAAGGGTTGGGGAAGGTGTTTTAAGATTTAGGTTTTATTTCTCATTAACTTATTTGATTTGATTGGTAATAAATTAAATTAATTATCCCCAAGATGAGTCTGTTTTGCCCATGACTGTAATTGCTGGGTGATCTCCCTGTCCTTATCTTGACCCACAATCCTTTTCATTACTTTCTCTCTCCCCTGTCCAGATGAGGAGGGGAGTCGCAGAGCGGCTTGGTGGACACTTGGTGTCCAGCTGGGGTCAACCTATGACAGTCCCTTCCAACACAAACTATTCTATGTTTCTATGATTCTATGAAAACCTGACTATATTCCAACACATTTTATATAAGAATGATGATTTGATTACCTCGCCCTCTCCAAACAGCAAATGGAAAATCAGTGAGAGGTTTATGCACGTATGGGATGGCAGAGTTTAACCATCTTGATGAGATCAGTGATTGTTCACATTTGAATTCAAAATTAGAGCTTAATCCCACAAACTGCTCTTTACTTAGTACCTTTAAAAATCACAGGATTTCCATGTGGTCACAGCAGTCTACACGCATAGAGAGTTTACTGGATTTGTTCCAAATTTTAAGCTTTGTTATTTTGTCCATGGATTTGGCTTACAGACAGACCTTAACTCTTTTAGCTCCGAAAGGTATACGTCTTGTGATCAGACTCCTACGTGATAACACCCCTTAGGTTATTTTTAACAGAAATGTCTGGTGGCATGAAATTAGTAACTATTTGGGTTACAAATTAAAGCATAAAGATAGTATCTTTTCCTCTTTGTTTTCACTCACCATTCAAAAGAATAGAAATTATTATGAAACATACTGCAAGGAAATAAATATAAATCCTTGAAAATCAAAGGCATTGTAGGAGTGTTCTTGTATTACTAGTCATATCATAGGATTGCATATTGAAAATATGAAGGCGTAATTAATGAATTGACTGCTGCATGACTACTGCTATTATTATTGGCTATGCTACAGAAAACATTTTAATTCCTTTTTCAGCTCCAGGTACTTGCATGTTAACTACACAAAAGCTTGTTGAGCTTCTGTCTTTGAAGGATTGTATCTAAAATTATGAAAATTCTCCTTTAAAAACATTATTTAGCTTTTCACAAAAAATGTTTTTCGTTTTAGTTTGTTATAGTATACTCTTTAGACATGTGTAGTCATTGGAAGATAATGAGAAGGAAACTATTATAGCAGTTCCTAGATTTTTTTAATATAATTGTTGGTGTAATAATTGAGAGTCACAGTTTTTAATTAGAATCAAAGTTGAGATAGTAGCAGTTTTAATTAGTATTGTTGAGTTGATAAGTGTGAGACTGTAAGAGGATTCCAATTACATTCAAAAAGTAAAAGTTAAGTGTTTTGAATCAGTAGCAGTCTATAGACATGCTGCTGTAACTTCGTAACAGCATGGTAGTCTGCTTTATGGAGCCGGTGATTACAAAGATCCACTTCAACCATTTTTTTCTCACTGGCAGGTGTCCCACTGGCCTGAGGCCAGCGGCTCTGAGTGTACTGCAGCTTGCGGTTTACACCAGAGTGTAGAAAATACCGACACCAGCTGGCTGCACATAATTAAGCTGATTGTGGTCTGACAACTTGAACTATGATACAGATATGTGATAGATATACAAAATATCTTACAAATTTGATTCTCTGACATATTCTCTCTGCTTTGTTTCTCCTTAACAGATACGATATCTGCACTTACAAAAACAAGCCTTGTGGAACACTGGGTAAGACTGTAAAGAGTAATTTCATCTTGTATTTGCTGTTTCCTTGCTTTATATTCAGCTATTGATTTATTAACTGATTAGATCTTCTTAAGTTTATGCTTCCAAAATTTGGTAGTTTTATAAACGTGATCAATAAAAGGTAACCTAGGTGGGTTTCTGCTTTGATACATTCCTGGAAGTTTAAATTAAGTGAGCTGCTGCTGTGTATTTCTTCTCTGGAGTTCTGATAAAACCTAGCAGATGTCTCAAACCTGCTTCTTACAAAAGGGAACTTGCTGTTTATTTCCATTTAACTTGTCTTCATGATCTAGTTAAAAAAATACAAATAAAAGACCTTAGGGAAGTTAAAAACCAAACCAACCAGCCAGCCAAACAAAAAAACCTTACAAAAGAAACAGGCTTTGAGGTTTACAGTGTTGCTCTCTTGTACACAGGGAGTACAGCTTCAGATTCTTCCTTTCACAGACTTAAAGAAAAATATCACAGTGCTATAAATTACAGTAACACTGAAACTCTTTAAAACAATGCTTTGACAATACAGAAGCACACATAACAACCTTAGGTGCAGGATGGAGACCTATTGTTCTCTCCATACTTAAATTTGTCAACAAAAGTTATTTACTATAGTATAGCTGTTACATTTAGTAGTTCTTTAATATATGAAAGAAACAATATTGAAAGACTAATGTAACAATTTTTTTTTTCAATTTGCATCCTTTCTGAAGCTTTCTTCTGAGAAGTAATTAAAGATACAATTCTATTTTGGCTAGTTCAGATTATTAATACTTTTCTCAATCAGAGCTCGTAATTGTATTTGCTTTGTCTTTCCCTGTGTTACTGTATCCTTTGATAGCCTTAACTCATATTAATTTTTCTACAAACTCATATTAATTTTTCTACAAGTCCTGCTAAAGTCAGCACGACACTTCTGGCACAGGGATGTAATTTACATGCGGAAAGGTACCACAATTTTCCTGCTGTAAATATAAACAATATCTGCAGCATGTTTTAGTAAAAGGAAAATGATGATGATGAATTTCTAAATGTAACTGGTGTTCTTTGACGTCTGTGTGGAGGAGGCAAAACTGAAGAGACTGCCTATATTGACGTCATAGAATTGTCTTTGCAAGTGTTAAAAGAAGAAAGTTTTAAAGAGTTTGTATTCACACACAAGCTATTTGATATTTTTACATGATATTTTTAACACAGATCATTAGTGTACTAGTTCTTACTGTATCAGACTTTGGCATAAAGGCAAATTCTGCTTCACTTGAATCCAGCATAACAGAGGATAGACTTTGGCAAATGTTTTATTAAACAAAAGTCTTCATTTTTTTAAAATTTAAATAAAAATCACATATGGTATCAGTTCCAACTCAGTCTTATAGGACTCTTGCTTGGCAACACAACCATGACAATTTATTTGTATTATAGGCATTGAATTGGAGAAGAGGCAAGGCCCTGTGGCCCTCTTTTGCAAGGCATTTAATAGGCTTAAGTCCCACTGACCTCCAGTAACTAAAGTTAAGCATACGTTTAAGGAGTCTGTGAACAATAGTCTCAGAGAGGTCTCAAAATGTCGAAAGAAACTTGAATCATTGGTATTCTAGGAAGAAACAGAAGTAAAGGATTTCTTGTGGCATAGGTATCTCTCTCCTATTCCAGTTTCCTAAACCAGGGAATCTTTCATGGAATCTCTTAGAAAAGATAGATCTCAGGTGTCTGCAGCATGTCTGTGGCTCCAGTGAAGGACAACTCCTTTTTTAAATTTAAGCCATAGGCTGAGTTCTTGACTTGATCTCTGTGACTTTCTGCAGGCATGGTACGGAATTACTTTAATCTGGTCCTGTAAGTCACTGAAGCAAGTTCTCAGTTACAAGATCTGAAGATAAAGATGACTTAATCGCTCAAATGTGGTGGACTTTGCAGGGGAACATGCCAGTTGGTATACAAGTATTGCCATACTGTCTTCAGAATGTCATACTCAATTAGAATAGCATAGGTGAACTGTAATTACTGTATTTTCTACAGGTTGCACACTGCCAAAAATACACAGATTTTTTTTCCATGGATAGTCTTTTTTTCTTCTGATGTTTTATCCTGTTCTCAGCAAGTTTGACTACAAAGATAATTTGTTTATAGCACTGGTACTGTTGTGGTGCAAATTCTACAGATACACATTGTCACCTTTTGCCCATGTCAGTTTGGTTATCAGAGTAGTTTTGGTGTGTGCAAACTAGATTTGTTTTGGAGAAAACTAAGTCAGAACACATACTCCCCAAATGCTCCATATATACCTACAGGAGAGATTGGGGTCTAAACCACTACATGAGCTGTATTCTCATGATATCCTGTAACATTTTTTTCCCTTTAGAAAGCTTTGAACCACATGTCTGGTGAATATGTTCAGCCTACGGGATTAAACTCGTCCAAAGTAGAATGTCCAACCCACCTACAAAGAGCTGTGAGGAACCTCAATATCAGTGCTTCACTCTGCTGACCCATTAGCAAATTACTTGTTAATGTGGACACAGTGAAGAAGCATTCCTCATCTTGCTACTTGCTTACTGTTAGTCCAAACAGAATAATTTGAAGTCCCTGCTCATACAGAGAGTATGGCTTCTGTCTCCCTGCCCCATTCTTCCCATCCCCTGACCAAAGTTACA